GGCCATCATGAGAACTTCAAATTATGTCTACTTCTCACATACCTACGCTACTCGTACACAAGAATAAGAATTATTTGTTGACTGACCTTCCATGTTTACTTGGTAAACAACTTACTGTCTGTTCATTGGTCAGCGGGTGGTTGATTGACTGCCATTGGCTGTACCATTGTCATGTCTGCTTTATTTTGAGACTGGGGTACGTCAAACCATATGCAATGAAAGTCGAGCTCAAATAGTTTGAATGTTTCATATTCAAAGTACAGGAACTTTCCAAATTCATTCATTGTACAGTAGGAACTATGGGACCATGGAGCTTTCGCTGCATGCACCATACACTCCTGTATTTATTTCCATTCAATTAATTAACGCATTGACAACGTATAGTTTTGTATGCTGTCTATAACGTATGGAGTAAAACGCGTGTGGTGCTAGTCACTTATACTACAGAGAAACTTATACTGAGCAGATTTTTTGAAATTTTTTTTTTACTTCGTACTGCCCTTATATAGATTGATAGTGATGGATAGGATATTACTTTACAATATAACCACCAACATTCTCATGAGAGGAAGGAAACTGAAAACCACAATGTAGGATAAGCCCAGGATTGAATGAATGAAACTAATGGTGTGGGGCATAGTTTTTATTTCTGTCCCGGATAGGAAGTTCAGGAACCGGAACCTGACCACTGTCTTATTTAGTTACAGTCTTTGACCTCAGAGTTACGTGAAGAAATAAAACTGAGATATGTTTTTGATTTGTATTTCTGTTACTTTTATTTGACCTCTCTCGGGGACTTGTAATTATTGATGGCTTCAGCGTTTTAATTGAGTCTTATGTTGTATGTAAGAAGCAATAACATTTAATTGTGTGTGTTTACGATAATCATGGTATTTATGACATATCAGAGTAGACTCCTTAAGGTACGCCCAATTTATGATGATACATGGGGAAAACTGTTCAGTTGTAGAACTTAGTCACTATAGCTTGAAATAGCAAGCTAAAAATACATTTTCGCGACTTAGTATACATTGTACTCGGTGGGGTAGGGGAGATAATATTGGAGAATTAGAAAATCGGATATCCTTTGTTGGTAACTTCCGCAGTAATTATGTCATTTTGTAACCATGGTGCTCTGAATAGAACAAATCCTGAAAAAAAGAATATTTTCATGTTTTGTTCATCTGTACATGTACATGTTTATGTAGAATTTTGGTCTACGTGAATTCTAATTGGTTGGAAGCAAAATTGGAAGGGGGTCACCGGTGTCATTTTGCACCCTGGGGAAAAAAAACTACTTGTGAAAACATAAAATAGCTGCAGCTGGTTGTCATGGTGATTATGGTAAGTGTAGCAATATATTGCTGTGAACGATTTTCATCCTCATTGTTTGCCACATAGACAACAACTAGAAATTGATGCCATGACGTCAATTATGCTTTCTAATCAACTTTTGTTAATATCAAATCATAAAACTACTTTTGGGTTTTAAAAGAAAAAAATTTCATGAACAATAGGTTTATCATACATAATTAGCATCCAAATATGTAGCATTAGGTTGCACACTTTGCTCTGAGTTGAAGCCAAATATGCACAAATAATGTACGGAACTAACTACAGCTTAAATGATTGAATTACACAACAAAACGTCACAGAACCCAGGGGAAGCATTATCGTAGGAAGCCCCCATACATGTAGGAGTGAGGTTTATAATTACGCAAAGAAAGACCAACCACGTCTATTTATAGCGTTCAATGACTTGTTATACAATAATACACAGCAGTTGTTCTAGTATAAACTGCCATTCATTCATTCCGCCCCTACTCACAAAATATATGCTCGATTTAACGCAATTTTATATGTGGCTGGGTTTGTCAGTGGACAATGGTAAATAATGAATGTGCGTATGTATGTATGCACGTACATCATTTATTGGGTATTTAAATGTATGCAATATTTCATCTGTAGATGATATATTTGGGTAGTACGTGCGAATCACCATATCTACTTCCCATTTCAAAAACGCCTTATTCCACTCATGCTGGGTTGAGGGACTCTAACTACGTCATGGACATTACTCTGTGTCAGAGATTTTGATTTTTTTTTTAGCTATTTCACCCAGGGACTTTACATAACGTGATCTGTGATTGATATAGCGTACCGTTTTATTTGCCTACGAGCCATTTTATCATAACTTGATGTAGAATTTACGTGCATTCATACAGTTGTATGCCATTTTGAAAAGTGATTATTTTACTAATTTTAAAAATTATAAAAAAAAAGAGATGATTAGAGATGGTGTCCAACTGTGCAATACCTGGGAGGGATAGCTTTCAATCTGAATTGAGAATAAAGGCTGTCAGTGGAGGGAAAAGGTGAAATCGTGGACACCATTGTTTTAAAATCTATTTTTTGTTATTAATATCCATTTTATAAACTGCATTATTTTTCATCAAAATTATAAAGCAACATTTGTGGGATTTTTTGCAAAGAAATTGTGCAGATTAATTTTGTAACTGGTGATAAAATTGAATTTGTCATTCAAATGGGTATCAAGTAAGAAAATCACAGATTCATATTATAAATTACAAACTGTCTGTCTGTCGATATACAAACATCTATCTACGATAGATTTGCAGCACATTGTTCTGCATTGTGTGCATTGACTGTTCTGGAAACCCGAATTCAGATAAACTATCATTCAATGTAATAACTTTAATTGCCTCATTTGAATCTCCATCAGTTGTCATAGTGATCTTCAATGCTTCAACAGACTATATGAAAGCCTGGGGAACAGTGTTCTTTTTTAAACCATTTCATCAATACTAATAGACTCAATGTTCTGGGATACAGAACATGCTTACACATGTAAATGCGACTTTTATTATTTATTTGTTTAGGAACAATAGTTTGCTCTAAGGAAACAATATTAAAATAGAGAATTCAAAATCAAAGACAATTTATTATAGTTAATAAGTAACGGTACTTCTTTTTCATGCAGTTGGATTTTAATATAAGTTTAACATAATAAGTATTATAAGTTTAATATAAGTATTATACAAGCCCTGTCCAAAACGAAAATCAAGTTTTTTTTATGCTGGGAGAAAAAGCATATGGCTGGCAAAGTGTGTCCACTCAAAAAATGTGTGCTGCAGGCCTTCCGTTTCAGTCATGTTTTAAGAACTTTGTTTTTTACTTGCGTCCCAGATCCTGAAATTCGGTCAATGAGAACATGGCCGAGTATGCAAATTGCACTTCATTGAATAACCAATTTAGTTTCAGTTTACACTGCCATTAATTTTAATAGCAAATGATCAGTGAAGTGGATGGGCTCCACTACTCAGTCTAGTGTGCACATATATTAACAGCAGGTAATGGTAATTGGTCACCTTACTACATGTGAGATATCCTCACTGTGCTGTTCACTGAAATTTCAATGTGCGCTTAATATTTAAAATCCTTTGAGCGTCAAAGTCAACGTTTATCGCCTTTCACTAAACCAACCTACATCAGTTTTTGATCAAAACCAGGAAGCAACAGGAATTCTATCCATTTGGTTCAAAATCAACAAAAAATACATAAAAACATGCAAAAAGTTACAGAAAATTTTTTTGGTGTGGGTTGTAGGTTCATTTCGTAGTAGTTTAAAGTCGCCTACAAATTTGTGATCTCTATATGCATATTTATGTAAATTGTTACATAATTATTTTAAAATAAAATAAAATGTCATAGGAATATTTTAGTTAATAAATCAGGGCTACATCTGGTTTGGACCATGGGCTGTTCATTAAAATAAACAGAATTTATTCATTTTGCAATTAGGATATTGCCTTTAAGAAACAAAACTTATTTGCATAACAATAGAATATGTTAATCACCTATTTTAACCACTGTTATTCTTAAGCGAGCTAGCTATATTGTTTGTACAAAATTATACAGTAGGAGGACTCATTTCCACATTGTATAATGAATGGGGTTACCAGTCTATTTTTTTTTAGAAAAATGATATGGGTATATTTATAGCGACCAGCAGTAACTTGGGTTTTAACATTAAGTATGCAGGTTACAGGAAACAATAAAATATGAGATCGGGGCGGGTTCAAATCTGACACAAGTACTTCCTGATAGACTGAACAACAAGTTAACTAACTATATGTCCTACGTAAACTGACATTTGATGACATAGTTATAGGGAAGTCAATACCGCCAACAATAATATTATTTCAACTCATTCAGAAAAACTGGTATGAGCAGTGTTTATTAGGTAGCCATGAAGAGATACTTGTGTTGAAGCTCAATACTACAATATTTTTAAACATTATATTTTAGAAAAAGTGTACATTTGTACTCCTCTATTACCATCGATTTGTAATTTATAATATATATTACTTATAAAATTGTAATTTAGAAATGTTATATAAATGATTCTCAATGATCCAAAGTTTGACACAAGTGAACTTGGGGGGGGGGGGGTAATTATTTCCCATAGAAATTTGAATGTAAAGTAACCTGGTAGTTTTAAATTAATTTATTCTACCTGTGTTATATGACTGATATTTTTTATTTCCAAAAATAGCATGCTTTATTTAAGTTTGATTCAGTCATACGGCAGTAATTCCCCAGGATGAACTTAATAATTCTGACCACTGTTGACAATTCACTGATAATAAAAATCCTGCCTCTGACTGTGCTGTCGGTATATTAGTTCTATCAGTGTAGGAGACACAGCATTGGTCAATAAGATTCAACATTCTTATTGAACCCTAAAATCAGTTCTGTGTCATTCGCGGTTATCTGCATTAATGACAGTCAGTATAGTGACCTCATGCGACACTGTAATCCTATAACTCAGGTCATCCAACTGACCCCTACTTTTCTTTCTTCTGATTGGTCACTTCTTGTTTCCTGTGTTTCTTTATCGTGGGCGGGGCTAAGATAGCTCTGAGGTTGTTGGCACTTCACGCTTCCCCGGCTCTTTGGTTCTCAGTCTTGATTATAGTTTCATGGTGTAAGGACTGTTTTTCTCTGTCTCCGTTATCTGAGTAATGTTAGTGGCTGTACCACCAGCTGAATATAATTACTTTTAAACATGGTTTTTCGCGGGTCTGCCACTATGCCTGTCATGCGACGTGGATCTTATGATTTTCTCTCTAGTTTCCAGGTAATATTTTGCACCCTTTTTTTTTTAATCATAGACAAGGTTATGTTCACACATTAGACGTCAAAACATAACACAATTCTTCATTTTTATTTTATTTTTATAACAATTGAGAATATTTTTTGTTGTTCTATTTCTGTCTATTTTCTCCGTAATCATTGCTTATCTTAGCCTTTGAGTATTGTTTTAACTCGCATATCATGTCAGCTTTTTATCTTATCTTGTCTTTCAAACTGTCCTGACAAATTCCTTCAAACTGTCCCGTTTATGCAGTTTATTTTATATCAAAGTAAAAAAAAAATAGTTTTTTTTTCTAAAAAATATATTGCTAATATTTTCTCTTTCTTCATTATAGGAACCTAGCTCGAAGCGTGTCCGCCAAATGTCTAGGGTAGCTTCGCTAGTAGACATTATCTCTCCGGTGAATCATGTGAAAAAAGTTGGACAGGCATTGACGGTATGTACACAAACATGATAAAAATTATGTGGGAGGGAGGAGAATACTTTGCCGGGAGCAAACCAATACGCTGCATTCCTCATTTACAAACAAACCTCTTAGTGCAGTCAGGAAGTTAAAAGATATGAAGCATAGAAATATTTGCCGTTGATGAATACCGATGTTTACCTGTACACGTGTGCTAATAAGAAACTTCAAATAAACACATAGCTATGGTTTGACTACTGAGGTAGCTCCGGGTTGTCTAACGCCATTGATACATGTATTCACTGTATACTGGAATAGGTTATGATGATGTGAAAATTCTTGCAGGAAACATACAACCTTAATTAATTTGAATAATTTCTCAATTTAACTAACATAATGATCTACAAAAATTAGAATTTTTTTTTTTTAAATACTGAGCTATTTTAAACCATTATTTTTAAATAATGAGTGGGGCTGGCCGTAATGTTAACGATATCATGTATATTACCACCTACTTGACCATGGAAGCTGAGATATCCACCCTTTGAAGGCCATGATTTTTCTTGCTAATATTTTGTGGCATTGTTTGCGAATTTGTTTTTATTTTTCTGTATTTTCTGTAAGTTGTCTTGATCACATTTTTTTTTTAAATATGTTTGTGAAAGGATGGCGAAAGTTGGCTTCGGCATTCACTTGTTGGATATTTTCATACAGACCTTTTTCTCACATGTATCAAATTTATATAAATATAAAGAGTAAGTGTACATTGGTGACTAAAATTACATTTGGAGTTGTCGTGTATCCGACCCCCCCCCCCAAAAAAAAAAGCTGTTGTAATTACTAGGTTATGCAGTAGTAGAAGCTGTGGAAAAATCCAGGAGTCTGAAACTTGCAAATCGTTTTAATCTCAGGATTTAAGTAGGCGTGTTTTTGTTTGTCTGTACTATGTGTTTTCCTTGGAGAGAAGAAAATCAATAGCTTCAGCAGCCATCGAGCTGAAGTGCCCAACAATTGGATGTTTTCAAATATTGACCAGTGACGACATCAGTTTAGTCATCAGTGCAATGTGTAAATCCCAACTATGTAGACACGTGTTGTCTTCAAATATTCGCATTCTGAGCATTTCCCGAAGGTTTTCACGCTCATCAAGACACTAGTCTACGTATAATTTACCTGCTATTGATTGGAAAACAGGAAAGGCGATTCTAGTTTGGTGCAAACTAATTTGATTTGGCGATTGTGTTTACCAAATACCTGTCAAGAATGTTCACATGTTTCCTCTTCACCTATTGTTGAGCGGCTTTTTTTTTAAGGATCTCTGGAATGTTAGTTAGACATAACTTTGTATTCAGTAGTTTTTTGAAAACAGTTGACACGAACGCCCTTTTGTTAGTTTACGCATATTTCTCCTGGGTATAAGTATTGGCTCTGGCCACTCGACTAAAGCGTGCTCAGTCATCACCGACCGTCCAGTCTGCAAGCATCGTCAGCTTTCAGTCCATGCATCAAGTTTGTAGCGAACTCAGGCATTCAAAAACGAATGAATGAATGATAAGTAATGTTCTGTGTTACCGTGTCTGTTCCTTCGCAGAGGTCTATGAGTTTCCGCAATCTCAGCTCATCACCAACTTTCACGATTAAGCCGTACACAAAACCACAAGCCACTCCAACTAAGCGACGTGACAGCAAGCTATGGAGTGAAACGATACAAGGCGATGTCAACGACGTTCTTTCCAAGATGGATATCAAGAGACAAGAGGTGAGTTTTAGATTTTTATAATTTTTTTTCATGATCTTGGGGATTTAATGGAGATATAATATAATGTGTATCACTTGTTTCTCTCGAGTCTTGAATTTCAATTATTCACTTGCAGTGTCAGAACAAAGGTATTTTGTCTCAATTTCCGTCTAGGAATGTCTTTGTTCAGGTAGCATTATCGATTAGGCTTTATCTTAGATTTCTCAAGGCAGCAGGAATTCAGTTATCAATGGACTCTAAACGGTCAACTACAAGAGCAATTGTCTGATTGTTAGTTTCTCAATTATCATTCAAAACAAAGTCATTTGTACACAGGTGCAATGACCGTAGCAAGGCTTGTGGTGCCTAACGACTGACACTGTCAATATTAAACAAGACAAAACAAAACCTAATAAACATTGTTATGAGCAATCCCCAGGGCATCTCTTTTACCCCCATACATATGCTAATCACAGAAAAACAAGATGTTCTCTCAATCAAAAAGTGATCAGGTTCTTCAACCTAGCTTGATTGAAAGGTATTATTATCAATAATAATAGATATGGAGGCAACCCAATTATGTGAATAGACGACAAGGAACTGATGGTTGCTGACCTCATCAGGCTTTATTACCACTTCCTGAGTTTTGTAAAAGACTTGTAAAAGTTTTAACGCTTAAATTGAACAACTTTCACCCCCAGATTGTGTATTTTCTCTAGACTTTTTCATGGTGAGACTATGACTACGTTGTTACATCAACAGAGAGAAGAAGTCAGTACACGGCAACGAACAACATTTTTTTCCCCTGCTATTGTGTAAACTTAGTTCATTGCATGCCCTGCATTCTTTCCTTTGTTTGGCCTGTTATTGTTTGGAAATGTTTTTCTCGCCTTGTATGACAGGTGCTCGATTGGGTTCTGTGGTTTCCTATTTCACATGGTGTTGAGGTTAAAGACCTCTTGTTGCTTCCATGCGTCAAATACATGTGTACATGTATGTGTACATTTCACATCATTAACACAAGTAGACATGATGTCCTGTGATGATATATGTAGTTTTCTTTTAATGTACAAATTTACTCAAATTTCCTGATAGTCATTAGAGTTTAAAGTCATGATAAAAGATGGCGGATGAAAAAAAAGATAGAATTTGGGAATATTATGATAAAACATGGCAGGAAAAAAAAAGAAAATTTTGAAGTTTAGAATATTTTTATGATAAAACATTGCAAAAATATTTTGAAGTTTGAAATGTTATGATGAAATGTGGCAGATAAAAAAATCTATTTTAAATTTGTGGAAAGTATCAAGAATCGATGATGTTATCAGTCAATCTCACACGCACGCTGAACAATGTTTTCAATAAAATGAGTCGAGCCTGCAAAGTGAAATGTTGACAAGGTTTGCAGTCTTTTAGTATAAATCAATACAAAACATCAATAAACGTTTGGTTCGATACAGTGACATTTTAAATACAGTGCCAGAACTATAATGGATTTATTGGACAATTGTTTATACATGTATGTCGGTCCATAGCATTATTTCTCAAAAATATTTTGGTATCAATTTTTTTTGCAAAAATATGAAATATAGTTAAGCTAATATTTCATAAACAGTTCATAAGTGTTGTTTAACATTTGTTGTAAATGCGAACAGAAAAGAAATGTTTGTGCACATGTTCAGTTGCATCTCCGTGGTGTGAACATAATTTATATTCAAGCCAGTTTTGTTTATAAACACTGAAAATACAATGGCTGTATGGTTCAGACATCCTGCGTACATTGATTATCATTGAGGTAGATTCATTACTACATTATTTTAAACTTTATACAAGCGTAGTAAAGTTCACTCTGTGCACTGTCGGTTTGTTAACAATACAGCACTGTCGAGTAGTCATCTATATCAAACGTTTATTGTCCCAAGGTGAAATGATGTCATTACGCAAAGGTATTACCCACTCATTGTCGTCACGCCTGTTTATCATACCGTAATAGTTTATGAAGTAAATAGAACGAAGAAAACAGCGTCCCCTCTAATTTATTTTTATTTAAAAAAAAACACTTAGGTGTTGTGCTGCATGTTCATACATTTTACTAAAATTTTAATTAGTTTACAGCAATAGTTATGATAAAATTGATTTTGCATTTTTATAACCCATAGTTCTGTGAAATTCCAAAAATCAGCAGTTTTCAGAATCGCGGTGGTCAAGAAAAGATTTCGCTTAGTTTCGTCAGAAAATCTATTTTATCAGAAATTCTTATCTGCCATTGACAGGTCAATGTCAAATAAGGAAATTGAATTCATGTTCTGCAAAGAATTGTCTTTGTAAGTGCAAAAAGAAAAGAAAAAAAAATACTGAGAATGTAAAATGTGTTTTATAGCCTTTGAAGAGGTCCAGTGTTAATAATAGTACAGATATTAGTTTCCAGTGATGCGTTAATCACTGCATGAGAGCATAAATAACATTGTGAATAATAACCGCAAGAAAATGTGGTATCATGCTGAGTGTCGTCCTGTATTTAGGCCAACGTAGTTTTCCTGTGATTGACAGCTAGACTTGTACCGTAATTCAGTTGAAAACAACAAGCTGCATTTAGGAAAGTTAGAATTAGAATGTTGTTCTGACTTGGAGAGAGCATTTGCCATCCTCCCTGGCAAAATAACACACTTGGTAGTGTCTTTATGTTTACTTTTGGGTGTACAACTGTTTTGCTATGAATTCAGACTCGAGCACCTTGGTTCATATTCCACACCACCCTAGAATACAAATATTTTGAATCGGTATGTACGGTACTCAATGACACAGAATCAACAACTCCATTTTTTTTTATCTATTTTTAGGCTATTTACGAATTGTATCAAGGAGAAGTGGATCTTGTAGAAGATTTAAAATTAATCAAGAAAGCCTACCATGATTCCATGAAATCGTTAGGAATCTTAAAGGACGAGGAATTGAATACAATTTTCGGGTCGCTGGCAAATATTCTACCTCTTCACGAAGGTGAGTCACGATGCAGTGTGTTATTTAAAAATTATTCATTATTACAACTTGATTATTTTTGATAATCTTCGTTCAACTTTTGTTGTTACAGCAGTAAATTATGATTAGCCTTCTTGTCCCTTCACTGACATATTCAAATTTAATCTTTAATTCTTTGACTATTTACAGAACTTGTTGAATCATTAAAAATGCAGAAAAGGAAAGACGGCACAACAGAAAACATAGCAACAATTTTATTGCAATGGGTAAGTATTTCCTTAGCATTATAAACCCCCCCCCCCCATGTATGTACATGTATGTTCCCTTATAGTATTTTTTTATATATTTACATTCAATGTAAATTCTGACACGTACCTTTTTTTCGCTAAGGTATCTGGATAATTAGAAAAACTTCACTGGCCTTATATTGTATTACTAAAGATGTTATTAGACTTAGTGGGGTGCAGTTGTTGAATGGATTTAGGTTGAATGTTTACACATCCAATATAGCTAGCAGTAAGACATAGTTCACTTAGTCAGCATCTGTGGAATCTAATCACTTGCCACACTTGTCAGGTTAGCTTTTGTCATGAGGATGTAGTTTGTCAGGTTTATTTACTACTCTCTGCCCTTTTGAAATTTAGATCAATTTCGGAACAGGATGGCTGCATGCGTGGGTGTGCGTGCATACGTATGTATACATATATGTATGGACTGTGGTTGAAGTGTGTCTGGGTAAGGGGTATATCTATTTGATAAACAACTATTTTCGCTGTCATTCCCAGCTCATTTTTCATCAAAATTTTTTTATTTTACAGTTTCCGAGGTTATCAGGTAGTTACGTCTCCTATTGTTCCAATCTAGTAGCTGCGAAATCGCTTCTTGATGTAAAAAAAACGGATAAAAAAGTTGATGATTTTCTCCAGAGGTGTAGAGAGTCACCGTTCAGTAGGAAGCTTGATTTGTGGAATTTTCTTGATGTGCCTAGGAGTCGACTTGTGAAGTATCCCTTATTGTTGAAGAATCTCCTGAAATTTACGTCACTGGAACACCATGAAAGAGAATATATTATAGAAGCTGTAAGTTTTATTTTGGGAAAATTTCATATTCGTTTAGCTGCATTTAGTAAGCTTTTATAAATCAATGTGTATTTTTAACATTTTTAGACCTATTTTTGATTTGTCCATTGTTGTTGAAGTGTTTTTCACTGTAAAATTTCAATTATGATTACATTTTATCGTAAATCGATAAAAATAAATATTATATGCACTATTTGACATTCAGATTCAGTCCTACCCTGGATCTGATCAATAACACAACCTTTTTTTATTTTCATTTTTAGATAAAAGTATCCGAGGCTATTATTAGACAAGTCGATAGAAAAACTGGGGAGGCGAAATGTCGACATTATATAGACTCATTTGAATATACCGATGAGAAGCAAATGGACCCGCTCATATGTAAACAAAAAGTGTTATTGTGTGGGGGAATCTTACGAAACAACAGAGGAACGGTGAGTATATTGGTGATCGTGTGGTAAACTCGTTGACATACTTTTCGGCAAAAACACTTCAGTGTCAATTAAATTGACTTGTTTTGCAGTATTGCTAATGTAACCTTTCCCAATCACTAATCACTATATCTTCCTGTTTACACAACCGTTAAGTTCTACAGGCTGATAACTTTCCCAAAACACTTCTAACTAACAATGTCTACACGACTGATTATTTGTTTCAAAAAAAAAAAAAAAAAAAAAAATTAGTAATAATCACAGAAACAGTAGCCATACTTGTAATTATGTAAAATTTAGCTTTTTGAGTGCAAAAAATAAAATAAACTAAAAAATTTCATATATTGCTATAACTGAAAATTTGGTATAAATATTTAAAAAAAAATTATGGAAAAATGTTGCAACTACATTTTGGTAGAAAATTAATTGTGATCATATTGTTAACCTACTGGTTATATCTACCGGTAAAATGCATCTTTCAAATAACACTCCACAGCTGCTCACAATGTTTGTGTTACCTGCATTCTATCCACAGTATCATGGAGACTTCTCAGTTTACCTGATCTTTTCATACAAGAAAGAAAGAAAAAATCTTTCAAAGAGAACATTCTAAACAAAAAAAGTGGCTGCAGACTCGTTGGAATGTCTATTTGTGAAAGAATTTATTGACTCAAAACTAATCAAGGTGTTTGTTTTTTTACAATTCTTTTGCAGAAATTACACGTGTTCTTATTTGAAGATATCTTTGTGCTGACAAGGCAAACGACGAAAAACGACAAGAAGCATTATCAGGTTTATCGCCAACCGATTCCAGTTAGGCAGTTGATGTTAGGTGATATGAATGATAGTGATGCCAAACTAAATGGGTCGTTTCGAGGAGCATTCACGCAACAATTATGTAAGTGCAAATTATTATTCTACTGTAAAATACTTTATTTTCGCTTGGAATTAATTTACGCTGTTTTTGCTGAAAGAATGATTCAGTGAAAATAAAATCCAGCGAATATACCTTTTTTCCTATATTTTACATTCAACATGTCAAAATTCAGTGAAAATAAATTCCATACAAAACACCCAAAAAGCTTTTTCAGCGAAAATTAATTCCAGCTAAAATAAAGTATTTTACAGTATTTCAATTAGGGTCAACTTATTTCATTTGGGGAGGGGGTAGTTGTGGGTATGGTTTTTATATGCAATATGGCATAATTGAATTTACAGCCACAGAACACACTGTCTGGTCTTTTCTCTTATAATTGTTTCCAGTTTCATTCACAAGTGCATGCCATTTAAAAATAAAGTTTGTGATCGAATTTAGAAATTTAATAACAAAAGAGATATAGAAAATTAAAAAGCATTGCAAAGCAATATTAATAGTTTGAAAGAAATGCACCCCCCCCCCCTCCCACCCATCCTTGGAAAATGGTCTCTCCCTTAGCACTGTAGCTTATACAGCCCAGTCAGGTTTAAGTGTCCTCTGTATACATAGTTTAAATATGAAATTAAAACTATTCGTTTAATTTGAACATATTTGCTACACGTGGGAGAAGGAACTGGTTCTCACAAGTACATGGACACTGCAAATTTTTAATTGCAGCAGTTTCAAATATAAACCGTGAGAGTACCGTATCAAAAGAAATCAATCCGATCCCACATAACATTAGAATTAGATCAGAGAAGAGAAGAGAAGAAGAAAAAAGTATGGTGTTTCCGATCATGCAGTGCAGGAGATTGAGTTTTAATTAAATAGAGATCACTAAATTCCAATCAAACAGTAAATTGAGTTGATGTAATAAGAACTGTCATGTTGTTAAAACTTGTCTAATGATACTGGCTCTAATCCAAACCATCCAAGTATGGTATATTTCCAACTACTTTAGAATACTTTATTTTCACTTGGAATTTATTTTCGCTGAAGGGATGATTCCGTGAAAATAAAATCCAGCGAATATACTTTTTTTTCCTATATTTCACATTAAATTCATCAAAAATCAGTGAAAATAAATTCCATACAAAACGCCCAAAAAGCCTTTTCAGTGAAAATTAATTCCAGCTAAAAATAAAGTATTCCACAGTATTCTACAGTAGGTGTTATTACTCTCAGGGTAAATATTTAAAAGTTATGTTGCAGTCACCTCTTTTTCTTTTCTTTTTATTGTACTTGGCCCTGACACCTATTTGATTTTAATCTGTTAATCATTGACAAAGTCTAAGGAAAGGTTGTTTACAATAGCAATAAATAAATACTTATACTCATCAGCTGTACAGAAGCTTTGAGTTCATGTGATTTGTACGTTCAAAGATAGTGTACTATCCCTTTTATGGTTTGTTGATGTTATCCAATAGACCCTTTGGCCACTAGGCTAGACAGTGTGTTTTGTACTGAACCTCTCTGTAGACTGGGTGTCTCAAAACCGCAAGGCGGTGTTTATGTCCAACATACACAAACCAGTATGCTCGGCGTGGGCAGAACCCTGGCAGCTACAGTTTTAAATGATTGCTTGTGCTGATGGGCTTGCCCTTTTCACTCTTTTCATCACAAATTCACAAAATAGTCCCATTTATAGTCTGCACTTTCTTTTAGAAGATTAGGACAAAAATAGCTAAAAATTTCCAGAAATATTGAAGATTATAAGGAAAAAAGACAGAAAAATTTGGGTGAGAAAGTCTGGTGGTGTAAAGGTTAATGTGTTAGATTGTTTTATATTAGGAAATAACACTGATCTTTTCTTTCTCGCTTACAGCTAAACACATGTTCCGAATCACTCCCACTGATCCCACATTAGGACAGGGTCATACGCTGCAGGCTAATGATGAACATGATAAAAAACAATGGATGCAATTACTGAGGACTGTAATGCCAGCTGTGCCAAAAATGGAGAGTGTGGTGTGACACACTCGCAGCAAAAAAAAAACTTAAATGTGACAATACAACAGAAGCCAAGGACGAATATGCCCCTCTGGTCAAACTGTATGACCCACTGTATAGAGGAGAAAAAAATTATTGTACCCTGGTTAAATCAATGGTTGATAACCGGCTGTCAACTGCTGGACTGTGCCTGAGTTGACCAACCAGAGTCAGAAGATACCGCCAGAGCAAGTACTCCATGAAGTCAGCCTTTGCAAAGGAACAGGGATTCTAACATTAGACAATATGTGTTACATAGGACATAAGGGAAGAGCCATTTGATTTCAGGGGTGGGTCTCAAAAATGCTGAAAGTGGTAAAATCATCTTGTAATTTTAAGTATTCTACTTTTTCTATAAGCATTGAATAATACAATGACCCAGAGATCGAATTGTTTGCCCAATAGCTGAGGGGGCTCTAATTAAAATTTACATGGTTTCAAAACCAATGTTTTTTTTATCCTGGTCAAAGTCAGTGTCAGCGTTAAGATTCAGCTCTGTAATTTCAAACATACTGACAATCTGAGCTGCCAGGATATTTTTTTTTTGTCAGAATTATTTATTCCCATATCAGAGTGTTGCATATATTTTTTTCTGGAAAAAAAATCATGTGCCATATTAGGGACAAGCTGAAATATACAAGAGTATCAAAACTGTAACTTTTTTAAAAATTTTGTAAATATTATATATGATTACAAATTATGGAAAAATCTTTTTAAATTGGAACCTTTTATTTTTTTATTTTTTAACATTATTTGCGCACGACTCCTTCCTAAATTCGACACTGTTCTTGTTTCCTATCGTTCACATTCAGGACCAAAATGTATTATTGAATTTCTGGTTACAGTTTGATTCAGTTTGCCATCCAAAAACAAATTCTCTGATTGGCAAAAACCTCATGTATTCAGCTTTGCTGGCCAATAGGAGAACTCTTTACTGAGGTTACTTGTATGATTTCTATTCTATTTATTATATCATAAAGTATACAGCCAGTTTTTCTTTTTTTTCTCCCCCCTTTCAAAACATATCAAGTAGTGAAAACAAAGTGTATGTCAAACTATACTATTAAACAAATTGACTTTTTGGGATAATGCACTACACTTAAGGGGGTGATAGCATTAATATTGCAGGGGACCATCCAGTATTAAATCACTATAACATGCGTTTAACAAAGTAAGGAAGCAGTAGAAATGTTTACAAGACATGTCATAAATACTTCCTTCCATGTAAACACAGATTATTTGAAATTGACATCCTTAAAAAATAAAATGGCAACCATCATTAAATTAACATAAACAATCTGATGGCTCCAAAGTCCACGGTCTGGGTTAAACTCCCACCCAGAGTAGCCGTTTACACCAGTGAATTATCGTACTGGCGTCGGTGAACTCATCTATTTACATTTTGACAAATCTCTCTCAGACCGTGCATGAACTTGTATATATTATTTTTTTTTTTATTGTAAATATAAACTATGCTCTGACACTGCCTGTTTATCAATAAACTAAGGGTAAAGGTAATTTCTATCTATTGCACTGGAACTCCTAAATCTGAAGTTCAACGAAATCATTGTAAGATAAGTTTAATTCCATATTCTTCAGTTTTGTTATGTACAGTTTGTTTACTCTGAAAAAAATAAACACTCTGATAAAATATTATCCATTTGCTGTTGCTTTGTATATTTTACAAATTACATGTAAATATCTACAAATAACATCCACACATCTAAGACAAGACTGATAATCTCTGAGGTAGCTCAGTCTGAGTATTCCCGATTTCTGTGCCCATGAATCAGTCCAAACAACACATTGTGTTTCGTACGTGTTTATACAGATAATGCAAGTCGTTAATTGAGCTGCTATAGTTTCCAGAAAGTCGCTGTCTCAAGAAATCCACACATGTTTATAAACAATGACACAGGCGCTGGTGACGACTCCCCCCGCTTTAAAGTCAAACTGCATAACTTGATGTGGTTTTCAGTGATTTGTCAGGAATCACAAGTTATTTTAATGACTGAACAAAATCCCTTGCCACAATCAATATAAATACATCTGTTGCCAGTTTGAATTACTTATTTGTTTGTCCAGATTTTTTATTTAATAATTAACCCTTTGAGTGGCAAATACTTTTCCGTCCCAAAAATTAAATGCAGATATTTTCACATTCTGTAAAATTGTCACTAAATTTCATCTTCATTTTGGACCATAAGAACAGTTTCAGATATTGCTTTTAGTTTTTAATCAAAATATTTGTCAATTTATATCAACATTTCATATGGGAAAGAGCAGACGACAAATTATTAGGCGGTGCTAAGAGTTGACAATGTCGCTCAAATGGTTAATCACATTACGTAATGCTTAATGATGTAATTAGTGAACTATTGCTACTAGTGAACTATGCCTACCGGTACAACGGTATCAAAACAATAATCACAATTCCACTTACGGTAGATTCACCTTTGAACTCTGAGTGGGAAAAAGACTTATATTTACTTCAAACCGTTGACATTGACTTTGAACAACTCATACTGAAACTATTCTCCGAACTACCGCTAACCTAAATATGACCTTCCGTTTTATGACAACTTGTTTGCACATCTTCGCCATTACCAGGAACCGGTATTGAAATAGAGGACAAGATAAGAGATGTCAACAGGTGTCGTCTGATAGACATACTGATGTCAGCACTTTGTATGAGTAATTTCCCGTTTCTAAATTTGCATATCCAAGTAGGTACCGGTAGCAACAGATTGACATCACCTTAGCTGACAATGTGACTCATGCAACACTGTTGCCACTTGCAAAGCATCTTCACAAGTTTTCAACACCAGTTTCTCGCCCAAATGTTTCTGCACTTTTTTCTTATACTCTTTAATATTTCTGCAAATGAACCTTACTTTTTGGAGCCAATGGACAATATTTGAGTAAATTTTCAGTTTTCATTCAAAAAAATTGACTAATTTTTTCCCAATTTTCTGAAGGAAAGTGCAGACTATAAACGAGACCATTTTGTGATGAAAAGAGGGGTGAAAAAGTTAAGGTGCATTTTGCACTCTAAAACAGCAGTAGCCATAATTATGAACTGTGTGCTAACCTATATCTATCAACGTCCCATCTGATTAAAATCTGATGTAGATATAAGCTCCATTTTTTTTTTATTTCTATATATATTTTTAAGGCGACCAAGATGCATCATATATACCAAAAATATAGAACAACAGCAAGTAAAACCAAAAAAATATGAATATTGGAGCGTATATGTTCAGAACATAGAATTACTGGCCTTAGCAACACTGATTACCATGGATCTATTCTATGGGAATGACCAACATCTATTTTTCCATTCCACTCTAAAATGTTACAAATCAAACACAAATTAAATTGATTATTGACAAAATATATCCACAATTACTGTGTTATAATATCTTTTGTACGAGTTATACAATATAGTTAATGAAAATAAGTTACTTAAAAATACATTACAGTTAAAAATGTCATGAACAATCATTATTAATTAAGAAAGGCACAAAGTTTCACATTGATGACAACACTCGCTCCGAGGTGCATCCAACCCAATGGGTTTCACAGCTGTAATAAACTATATCACAATTTGTTGCAATTAAAAGCTGTAGTTTAGTCACACTACATTCCCTGTCATCACACCAACTATATCAAATACAAAGTCTGATCTGATCAAAAAAAATCACTGATATTCAAAAATGAGGGCGCTCTTCATCACTTACAGTACATCAGGTTGCAGAAAGTAAAAAAAAAACAGTCAGTATTAGCCACAGACTTGTAGTCGATATTTTGTTGATTAATTATTGATATTTTGCAAATGACAAGAATATTTTCAATCAAAAGTACCCATGTTTGTTGAAAATTACATTGTTATCGATCTAAAATGTGGAGTGCTCATCTACAAGAAGAATGAATGGCATGGATCTAAAAACCTCTGATGGCTAAAAATGGTATATCAACAAATAAAAGGTTCGGTGTTGGAGTGAAAAAAACAATACTGAAAATAATGTGCTAAAATTCATGCTGTTTGTGAATAATATGATACAGACTGTTGAAAAGAGAGCTGTATATGAATCTGCTTTGATCTACAATATTAGGTTTTTAAATCATTAGCTGGGTTTACTTTTATTTTCACTTATTTCACTGATATGTAATTAAAACCGATTGAATAAGCACATGTTAATAATGAAATGTATCATCTCCTTCACAAACCAATGAATTTAAACCTACTCAATATTTCTGCAACATTAAAACAAAGTGAATATATCTTCCTTTGCATCAATTGTTGAACACTTGAGGGCGCTATAATCACACAATTGCACAACTTTCTGTAAATAGTTGATAAGGCCACAATACTACGTGTGTCCTTTGTGTAGTGATTTACATTACAAAATGGAAACACAATACAGTAAAAACATGTTTGATACTAAGTTGGTGAGGTGTAAGTCTGGTAAATACTGACAAATAAATTTCAATTAATCAGGAATGAATTTTCAAAACAAACCCAATTTGTTTATATGATTTTTCTTTCATTGATTTATCATACGTTATGCAAATTAACGCCAAAAATGTTACTTTCATAGACTTAATTTTCACTGATTTACTGCAATACTGAGTGAAAATAAACTCTGTACTGCAGAACGGGGAAGACATACAAGACATAAAGTTAGACTGGATAGTTTATCACAAAATTATATGTACCAATTAAACTTAAAATGATTGAATAAATCAAGAAAAATGAAATCTAGCTAAAAACATATTCACATTACCCCTATATATATTGTGTTTGACTTAATCACATTTGACCTTCTCATACCAATTGCACTAAACAAGATTATAATTCACAACACACTGAGGTAGTTTGACCTTTACCTTTGACCATATAAATCAGTTTTTAACTTTTTAAACTGACCAATGAATGAAGAGTATTTTACTTCCTATTGTTCAGATTTGACAGGGATATGTTGTTTGAGAACAGTTCCATTACTAATATGCCGTATTCACACTATGTGTATGTTGTAGATTTCTGAAAAGTTTTAGGCTACCTACTTATTATCTGAATGTCAGCATAACCATGATATAATCACATACAATACTAAACTACTGTAAATTAATCTAATTTTATGGCAAACACATTTTCATGAATTTGACGAGGAATTTGCAAGATTTTGTAGCAGTAATTATTTCACAAATATTTTACTCATATTTTGTGAAATATACCACAACACCATTCTATTCTCGTTATTCATACAGGAGGTAGTTTACTGACAATATATTGTTCGATATACCATGTAAACATTATAGTCTCATTGCTCTAATCATCTCATTGCTCTAATCGTCTCATCGCTCTAATCATCTCATTGCTCTAATCGTCTCATTATTCAAAAAGGAGGTAGCCTAGTAACAATTCCGGCAATTTTAAGTTTTTTATAAATTTGAGTCTTGATATGCCAACATTGGATCTTATGGTACACCGACAAAGATGTAACAATGGCCAAGCATTGCCTGTAAAAGAGACAGAAAATTAGCTTTATTATTCACTTACAATCCTGAATACAAAAAAGCAATAAATACAGTTTATGTATCGCAATAATACATTGAAGAACATAGACAGACAATTGTTGCAAACAGCGCCCCCTATAGGTCACTTGTACCGATTATGCACACAAGAAGAATTTCAGAGAATTGAGTTACTTTTTACTTTACATGCACGGGAGGCATGGAGATAGAGATACCGAAAAGCAGTCAATGAATAGAAATTCATTCAAACCAATTTTTTTTTGTATTTTATATGGTATTTGTCATTCTTCCAATGAAAACTACCAAAAAACTCTAAAATGTCACCTACTCGAAAAATTCAACCACCTAATTATTTGGTGAATTTTTGTAATGTATTGACCTCCAAAATTTTGACCTCACCCGAAATTGATCACTTATTTTTACTCAAAATATTTGTTTAAAGACACGACTTTCTATAACTATTCTATTTCTGCTACTGTTATTATATAACCCAATTTTTATATTTGTTGAATTTTTACACACTAAAAATTTAACTGGTCGAAAATTTATCTTCATCGTTTATGGTATCCGGCCGTTTTTCAAAAACAATTATTTAAAAGTGGCCAGAATTTTTTACGGCAGTTTTCATTCAAAATTTTGTAAAAAAAAAAATACCACTATATTACAGTTTTACAGTTTTTTCATTAATGAAGCGCACATAAAATGCAATTATTTTATACGTTATTTAAAAATGACTTGTTATGGCCTTGGCTATGTTTCATAATAACAAATGCAGTATCAATAATAGCATTATAATAGATTTATTTTTGAACATGCAATGCCACGGATCAAAAGATAATTAACCTATTTATACATAACAGTACCAAGACGCATTGAAAAGAAAAAAAAAATAAATGGATAAACTGCACTACTTACTTTCATGGAATTGTAGGAGTTCTTTTGCTTGATATTTTGCATAGTGCACAGGTCTATTGTCCTGATTGTCTCGTATGTACAAGTCAGCGCCAAAATCTACCAATACTTTGATAATCTCTATATGACTGTACTTTGCTGCCACATGGAGAGGAGTCTCCAGTATTTTTCTAGCATTCACAACAGCACCTGAGTAACAAAAAAAATGAAATTAAGAATTGGATTATTGACATATTATTAAAGCAGTTCTAATTTTAAGAATCCAGTCTCGGACACTCTGTTATTATTTTGAGCAAATGCGATAATTCCTGTTTATATGTAAATGAGAAAAGCATCATTACTTGTTCATTACAGAACATATATCTACAGTCTAGAATTGTCAGTTTAATTGGTGATGCAAATTCATACAATCATCACATACTATATGCTAGTGTCAATGATCAAAAGAAAGTAAAATGCTTTCCAGTCACTGGCCAGTAAAATTCAGCATATGCAAATAACAGTTCCGTGTTGTTTAAAAATTAAACGCAGTACCAAGCTGTCCATGTTGTTTCTAACAAACCTAGATTTGAAAGACAATCAGTCAGTCTCGTACTGGGCTAATACTTAAGCATCAATTAGTTGACAGTGAGAGAGAAATGACAAGTTGTTATAACCAAAAAACACTGACAATATGCAACACAGATATTAGTAATGTCACACCATCAAGACGAAATGGACCTGGTTTCTGGCTCATTAGATATACAAACTGAGAACAACTGCACTTATTGCTTCCTTGTATCAGTGAACTAAGCCATGATGATCGAAAAAAGTCACAGACTTAGTCTACCTAGCCTGGAATATGGGCACATATTCCACTGTCTATAATGGCTAATTATTACCATGATACAAGAATACCCAATAAAGTTGCACACAAACTTTTAACTTTGTTGTTTAAATCTTCTATTACTTTTTGCTGTTACTATACCACCATTTTCTTCAGCAAGCTGCGATATTGCAAGCGACAGTTATCAGTCTAAAAATGAAATAAACTAACTCGACATGATGGACTTTCCATCAATCTAATATTACGTTGTCATGTATTGTATTATTGATGCTGCTTACACATTTTAAATCAATCTATAATACATCGTAAGAATCGTCACCTGCGCACATGCAGGAATTGAGTCCCAAGAGATGATAACAACACACGTTAAAAGCGCAAAGGCTCATGGGTAGACGCTTGTTTGTAAACAATGACACGTTATGGTCATCTGACGCACGTGCAGGTTACGACTCCCCCGCTTTAATATTCATGATTGTGTATCTAAAAATGTATTTTTATCAGTAAAGTTGACAACAATGGATACAAGCACTTTGCCAATATTACATGTACGACTTTACTGGGCAAGCCAATCTCACTGGTGTACTATGACATAGATATTCAAATTAGATACGATCTGTCTACAGTAATGGGTAATGTATAAACACTAAAAATACAGATTACCAATTAATATATGTTTCATAGTGATTGGCTAAATAATTATTGGAGTTATCGCGTCCAAAAGAAAAGCTTGTGACAACGACAAAAGATAACAGACAGTTTGCTACATATATACATACAGATTAAGGATATACATGTATATAAGTTTGATAGTTATTGGCTAAACATTATTGGAGTTATCACGTCGAAAAGAAAAGTTCACGACGACAACAACAACGACAAAAGATGACAGACAGTATGCCACTAATATGACATCCCCTTCACTTCACTAAGCCATAAACGATAAATAACTTCACATCATCAGTGGCCTTACACTGACCTCAAAATTGTCACATCAAACCTTCTAAACTGATTTACATGAGAGCTCATTAGACATGGGAAATCCACTATTATATTTTTTGGTGAAATATAAATCATGTTCCCGACGGCACGCACATGCATAAACTAATTCTTCAAATAAATGATATCTGGTAATAATATAATTATTTATATAAAAAAAAAACTTAATAAAGAATGTAAGTTCATAAGTGTATTATACATTTTTCCAAATATGTATATCATATTTTGAAAGTAGTTGATAGTTATAGTTCTCTTTAGTGACCATACTGCTGTATGAACCATATATAGTGTTGTGTCAATAAATTGTTGTTGTTTATAAACACACTAATTATTACCGTACTAAATTCATACAAATAGTTGAAGGTTTTGTCACAGTCCAGGGATTGCTGATTTGTATAATATTACCGGTATATCAATGGGACAAAAAACTGCTTGTGTTTACTGGTTTTACTGGTTGCTATGACACAACTACCACGAAAGAAACACACTATCGATGTTGTTTCATGGATTTTGAAGTATTTCATTGGAGGGGTATCGAAATTTAACACGAAATGTCAAAATCTGAAAGAAAAGTAATGTTTTTAAACGAAAACCAAACATCGCTAGCTTAAATTCAGCACCACTATCACACAATAATGATTCAAAAATGCACTAGCAAATCTAAAAAGAAAGAGCAAATGGCCTGAAAGAAAATATATATATATAAAAATAACTACATTACTTTCCCTTTTTGTTAAATTTAATCCTAACTTATAGTAGTGATGTCTGGGGGCATGAATGCACAAGTCTGCCATTCTTGAGGTCGATACTAGCTATCTTAAATAAATGCAAAAGTAAATAAATTAACAAAATCAATTTGAAGAATTTTTCATGTCAGATATCTATAATGACAACAAGCACTTCACAGGGAAAAATACAGAAACTTTAAAAATAAATTAGAATCTGAAAAATACATAACAGGCATTGAACAGCTAAGCAAATTTCGATTAGAAAATTACAATTTAACAATTGAATCTGGCTGGCACACAAAACCAGGAACACCAGTTGTAAACATGTGACCTATGTTGTACATGGGAAATTAAAGATGAAAGTCTCCAGTTGTGTCCGCTTTTTATCTTTTTTTTTTACTATTTTATTTTTGTTTTATTGTTTGTGACTTTACTGCTGTACTTTCCAAAGTCAGTGTCATATTGTCAATAAATAAATATATGTTGGATAATTAACACCATTGCAATATTTTGCTGGAGAATTTACATTTATCAGTTCCAATATATGTCATTGAATTAATTGATTCTACCTCAGTCACCCTGACAAGCTCGTACCTGACCTATTTTAACACTGAGTCGTAACTGTCTAGAATATACCTACAAATTTTGAAGCATGTTATTAATTAGAATATTTTATTATTTTATATAAGGACAAGCTGTCACTATCAGAATTAAACAAATATACCCGGTACTTAAATTTGGGGTCTTTTTGTTGAATTGAATTCACTCGTGAATAGAGGTTTACATTATCATGCTTTTATTTCAACAGATGCCACGCCAATGAAATCCCAGACAATAATAATAAATATAGGACAGTATAAAAATCTTATAATCTCTGCAGCATATGCTCAAATACTTGGGAGTGAATATTAGGGCATTTTCACTGCCTGATAACCATCACAAATAAAAATAACAGCCAAAAACTCACAGAATGCAGAACTTCAGACTATTTTTAAGATTCTCCTGAACAGTGTAACAAGACTACCCTTACATGTGCAATATATATAAATCTGATTGCTCTGGATTGAGTGTGTGTTGTTTTTTCAACTTTAGCTGATTTTACTGTCACCTCGACCAGCTTTACACAGTAGCATGCGCATAGCCCGTAACATTTATTGGACAGGAGTAGCTTCACGCTCGAAAATAGTCCAAACTAGATGACACAATGTGCCACTACTAATCACTAAC